CGCTCATATCAGCATCAACAGACAACAACCTGTTAATATTCACGGACTGCATACAATTAAGGTGACCAATTTTCATCGAAATGTATAGGTCAATTAAGTTATCGAGATGCGATTGCTAAAAACACAATTTTTTAGAACCTCGGAGCTGTGACGTCCAAAGAGAGGTGACAAGTATAGCGCATTGTGGCCACCAGTTACTGTCCCTCTCCTTCATCTTCGCCTCCGCCCTACGTCTCCTTATCGGAACTGCCCCCCCCCCCCCCCCCCCCCCCGCCACCAGCAGGCACAGTACGCCAACTTTATATAGATAAGTTCACATTCCCAATATACTTTTTAAAGCAAAGTAAAAATAGGTAGGAGCGTTCTTATCGGTAGTGTCGGGGCACGCACGGGGACGCGCCGAGACTCTCTATGCGGTGCAGCCGGCGCCCAGCAGCGGGCGGCGGCCGGGGATCAGGTGGCCCGGCGCGGGTCAGTCGCCGACCGGAGACGCGGGCTGCGGCGTACTTGTACCGACTTAGTTAACGACTGCTGTTGAAGACTACTTTTTGCTGTTGACTGCATTTTGCGCATCAACTTTTCGCGCACCTATAAACTATTTGCTTGTTGACTTTTTGTGTGTTGACTTTTAGCGTGTTGACTTTTAAGCATGTTGACTTTTAGCGTGTTGACTTTTAGCATGCTGACCTTTCGCGTGTTGACTTTTAGCGTGTTGACTTTTAGCGTGTTGACTTTTAGGCGTGTTGACTTTTAGCGTCTTGACTTTTTGCGTGTTGACTTTATGCGTGTTGACTTTTAGCGTGTTGACTTTTAGCGCGTTGACTTTTTGACATGTCGGCTTTTTGTCTCTTTGACATTATGTCTTTTGACTTCTTGCGTGTTGACTTTTAGCTTGTTGACTTCTGGCGTGTTGACTTTTTTGCAGGTTGACTTTTTGTTCATTTGACATTTTGTCCTTTGACTTCTTGCGATGTTGACTTTCTGTCTGTTGACTTAATGTCCTTTGACTTTTTATCCGTTTACTTTTAACGTTTTGACTTTTCATCCGGGAATCCAGTTACGCAGCCAGCAATCACTCCACAGCCTCAGATGGTAACACAGGCCGGCAGCCATCCGTGGGAACGAGTCCGTCCTCCGTCCACCGGGCCACACAGGCAGTCGGTAATTAATAACGGGACCTGCATCGGCGGCGGCGGCGAACAACAGGCGACCGGTGCGGCCCACGCGCGTCGGGAAGTCGTTATTGGATCGTCAGACGCCGAGCAGGCGCCTCTCGCCGCGGCGCGTGCAGCTCGGGTCTCTCGCCGCTCGCACAGCGGCCGTCCCAGAGGAGGCGGCTGTGACCCGGGCTCGCGCCGCGCTGTACCACGCTCCTCGGCCGGGTCACGCGGCCGGCCGAGTAATTAGCCATTCCGCCGCAGCTCCCCAGACATTCAACTTTTAATTGGAACCGGCGCAGAGGTCCGCTGGTGGCTACTCGTGTCGCCAGAGGTATGCTGATATGACTTTGGAGTGAGTGTCTTCTCGGAGACAGAGGACGGTCGTTCATCATCCTCGCGCGCACGATGGGGTTGTAAATGATGGCCGGATATTAGGGTGGCACTTAAAAATCAATTTTTGATTTTTAATGCGTGCGGGTGGTTTTCCGGTTCCATTCCCGTAAAAAATAAGAAAGGCAAATTTTTATGGGAAAATATTGATGTTTAGAGGTCGCGAATCAAGGTCAAAATTGAGATTTTGGTAGCAGATTTCAATATCATTAAAATCGTTTCTGACTTTCCTATTACGCTGTAATCGGATGATATAAGGCATTTCTTAGTCATTTTCATATTGTTTATTGATATTTCATGCAGCTTCGGTCACGCCAGAACGCTGGTCTATGTACTCTACTACTCCAGTTCCTCCTCTTTAGTAGATTATTGGCGCCTCATTGGAGGGAGGGATATCATGGGCAACGGGCACCCAGATCACTTTGTGTGTAGCCTGGTTAGCAATTGCAGTCGATCTGCGGGTGTCAGGTTAGCGTTTTCTGTGATCTTTTTAACGACATGGAGGAAGAACTGGCGCTAATCTTTGTCTTTCATGAGTGCCAGTCCTACATCAGCGCCATACCGCGCCTGGTGAAGTCATTCACCACCCGCAGCTCCCGGACTACACGAGCGGTGGTTTGGTAGCTGCTGTCCCCCTAGTGGCCTAGGTCATTGATGATGAGCCCCGCGTCCAGATCGTGGATCCTTTTTGAACGATGGTGTGAGGAAGCTCGCCAACGTCTCGGTCGCGAGAGCGGCGTTCATAGTGTCCACTAAGGACTTATGGGGCGGGTCCTCGTCCTCCCTCTCCTACAAGTCTATTGCCAGCACCCTGTCTTGATTGAGCCCGAGAGTCGGGGTCTAAAAGCTCCAGAGTCACCAGCCGATCACTCAAGTACTACAGGTGACGGCCGAAGACCGGGACTGTCGCCTTCGACAGCTCCTTGTCGGGGTAGGTGCAGAACGAGTTCACGAAGGTCAGGTCCAGAGCCGGCGCAGTGGCAGTAGAGTACTAAACCAGGCGGCGGCGGCGGCGGCAAACTTGCAGGCAACGGACAACGCACAGCGTCTGATGACCTGGGCCTCGGCCGCCGTCAGCCGGAGCCGCTCCCTGAAGAGGAAGGCATCCACAGCGCGGATGGTCTTTGCCATCCATCTAACTCAGTGGAGTACTCTGAGGCGGAGAAACGGATGCCGTGCTTGGAACTCCACCGAGAGCAATTACGCAGAGCTCCAGAAGTTTTCAGTAGTCTTCCCGGAGCTAGGCATAGATGGAAGCGATGGAAGCTGACCAGCAGCTAGTCCTCCGGAACGTCGTCGACGACGAATGCCACAGGTGGTGATCCTGTCAATGAAGTATGAACTCCCACCCGCCTTTGAACCTCTTAAACAGCCGGATGTAGAGGCCGCTCGAGATTCTAGGGCAGGTGGAGAAGGCCTTCTCTAGGACCAGCTCTTACACGTGGTGCCGGCAGGCCAGCTGGAGGACGGGCCGATCCAGCTTCTGCTCGATAAGGGTTAAAGTACCGTTCGCCAGCATGCTGTTCCCCGTCGTGGCGTCGAAGCAAAAGGCCGCAGTTCCGCTTCTCCAGTTCCTAGTCCCCCAGCGCTGTGAGCATGGCCTCCTGTGCTTGGATGGAGGGGAGGTTGGGAACGGCGAGGAGCTTGGCCACCCCAATCCCTCCCCCTCCCCAGCACCAGGACCTAGAATCGGTCGACGCTCCTTCTCTCGCGGCTCAGGATTCGCGGTTCAGCCGGAGTCGTATCCTAAGTTCCGTGCCGCAGTTGATAACAGGTTCACGTGTTCTTCACACATTACGGTTGGGCAGTTTGGCCCGGTCGAGGCCAGTTCACTGTTGGGGACGTCCGCTCGCCCGCATGCGCTTGGGAGTGTGAGTCAACGTTTGTCTCTCATGGTAGCCATCGTCAAAGACGTTCCCTCCGTGTGCGCGCCGCAACGGCCGGGTAAGTCTGTTGCTGGCACTGGCACTAGAGTCGGAAGGAGCGCCCACGGAAGAACATCCCGAAAGCACAATGAACCAGTGCAGCTCAATGCACACTCTCGCCTCTGCTTTCGCCCGCCGGCGATAGGCTGACTCCAACTTCTTCACATTCTTCACAGAAAAGGAGCATGTCTCAAGAACCGATAGAACCGTGGGGCTCGTCCTCCCTTTGGAACAGGAGAGACCGGTCACTCCTCACACTAATCAGAGGATATGACCTTTGTGAGAAGGTACCGGTCGCAAGTCAAAACAGGCCTGACATGGGTAAAACAGCCCAGATCAGACCTGTCTTGGCCTGACCTGGACTGGCTACGATCGGCCGGAAGTGATCGGATAAACAATTGTTATACAAATAAAGGTCAAAATACGTCTGAAATGACGCTTAATGACCACATATGTCATTCCAAATAGGTTTTAAGTAGTTTCCAAAAAGTTGATTTTTTGCCCAAAAATGTCAACTTTGACCTCAATTCGCGACCCCTAAATATCAATATTTTTTTCAAAATCATTTTGCACACATCATTTTTTACGGGAATGGAACCAGAAAACTACCCGCACGCCTAAAAATCGGATAACATAAAATTCACCCTATTGCTAAGTGCCACCCTACCGGATATATAGTGGAGCCAACGTGTGAGCTGAGCTGCGAGCTGTGAGCCGCCAGGGGGATATACGGAGCTCTAGCATAGGCACCACATGCCATGAGCACCATTCTTTGAAATCCCTCCAAATGGCTGTCTTGAGCGGTCGGCCATCTGCCACGAGCACCATTGTCATCGACGTCCACAATGCGGCTCTCAGCCGTCGTTTTCAGGAGTTCGAGCGTCGGAGCGCCGCCTGCGGGGTCAGACTTGGTCTGTTGAACGTCATAGCGTTGCCACAGGAATAGGATATCTGCCACCGACAGTTTCTGACGGTCACTTGTCGACTGTCACCGACATTTGACCGGGGTCGAAAGGGGTACAAGATCGTCTAAGATCGACCGACGACCAGCTGAGACGAATAGGCGACCTTCCGTGACGAACAGACGACATGTCAGGACGAACGGACACGATCAACTGGTGGGCTCACGGGGCCTTCACGGTTCAACGACACGACCTCTGCGACACGAACCCCTTCAAGAAGGTCCACAAAAACGGCCCAGTCGGGTGTTGACGGCGACCGACGGACAGCGGACAGGACAATGGATGGCGACCGATGTCCGTCCGACAGCCGCGACAGCAGGGTGGACGGCAGTCGGAGGCATCGGAGCCAGCGGCGAGCGGGAATGGCTCATGACGAAATCGTGTAACTAGAAGACCAGACTCCAATTGTTCACGCAAATGTATTTTTTTTTACATCGATTCCATTTAACTATTCCAGGAATTACTCACAGAAATGTCTTTTCTTTGACACTGTACCTTGCATTTTTTTCATGTCACAGCAACATAAACCGAAAGCAGCAGCCGTGGATGTGTGCGGTACTCACTCAGTGCGTTGTTGTTGACCCTCTGCTGCTCGCTCTGACCGCGCAGCGCCCGCAGTTTGCGCAGTTTCAGCTCCTGCGCCTCGACCCGTTCCCGCAGCCGGCGCAGTCGCTCCGTCTCTGAGTTCATCGCCTGGTGGCGGCTCTCCTGGCGGACACAGGTCACAGTCAGGTCAGTCGCTGGGTCGGTGGGTCATAGCCAGGGTCACAGCCCGGTCAGCTATCCGGTCACATGGCTGGGGGAAGTGGTGAGTCGGCGAGGGAAAATGATTTGGTAAGGGACATGGTGCACACAAAACAAGCGGAATCGCTCAACAATGCTTAACTGCTTATCAACTACGAATAACTAAGAACCTATGGTGATTTGCTCTTATCCCTGAAAAATAAAAACACGAAAAGCTAACTATTCCAGCCGTAACACCCTCCCATGAGCCAGTCCGTGAGCTCCGGCGTCCTAGCAAGCGCCTCAGGTCTTCTACCCTAGAGACGACCACTCGTTCGAGTAAGCCGTCTCGTGCCGACTCGACAGCGGCCTCGCAGGAAGAGGAAGAATCCTCTCTGGCATTTCATTAGCCATAAAAGCCGGCCGCAGCCTTTGCCCGGGACTCTGCAGGGCGCGGAATCGAGCCAGTTTTACAGTGATCACTCTGAAATGTCCGTCCTCCGGAGGGCAATTCTTCCCGGGCTCGACCAGATATCGGCTGTCCGGTGATTTATTTACTATCAGTCCCCACCGGTGAATTATACTCCGATCAGCGAGAATGGCCGTCCTTGCTGCAGATTTATTGGGTCAGTTGTCATTCTGCATAGCAGCATTGTCATTTCCCGCAGTGTATTAGCAAGAACTATACCGTATCAGATAGATGCTATGTAAACGCGTAGCCAAATCGTATCTCTGTTGGTCAGATTACCATAGATCGTAATTAAGTGAGGGATGGTATCATGTGTATTTGTAATGTCTGTCATAGTAACGTTCCAGTCTTTACCAGTCTCACTTCTCTATCAATGCTCCCCGGCTCAAAGTTGTTTATTTATACCAGTTAATTCTGTCGAAGCGTGGGTACCGCTCCGGGCTCTCTTGCCACGCGCGGCGTACAGCGCCGGTAACAAATGGTCTCCGTCGACCGAGACCGCAGAGCGGCCAACCCCCGACATGAAATTCACGCCGTCAGAAATTATTTAATCCCGCTGTGATTAATGTTGAGCGTTTCAGAATGCCAAGTCCGTCTCAGCAGAAGCCAGGATACCGCGGTGGAAGATTAGCCCGTCAAATATTTCGCCAAGTTGTATGGACAGCATTAGCTGACATGTTTAAAACTGACAGTAATGACGCTTGGCTAGACCACTCTTGCGCGTAGTTCGTTCAATCCAAGCAAACTTGCCTGCAGTTACTAAATTATAGGGTTGTATGGAACGCAAATAACTCACGCTCACTGCACGAGCTCCATTCGCCGCAATAATCCGTCAGTATGGCCAGTCCAAGAACAGGTGGTATTCTGGGTCACCCTCTCGATTTTCCAGGAACATTTACCGACCCGTGACTCCTCTCACCGGCACCATAACCTCCCAGTACCCTTCCACCGACCACCATTGCCAGCATCCCCACAGCACCTCCCGCGGTGTCCAGCCGGGGCTCGTCCTCAAACGATCGGTGCGACTCTCTGTCAGCGCCGGTGGACGTTTTACCGTCTCCTAAATCACACCGATCGTACAGACACAGCAGCGAGCCGCTCCAGCGCCGGCCGACCGCCGCCCGCCCACAGCGGCACGAGGCAGAAACGAGCCATGAAGTCCGCTCGACTGACGCGACCCAAAGGCTGCCGGAGCGGCGCCGCTGTGAGAGCGTGCCAGGGCCGAGCGACGGCCCCCGTCAGCGGCGGCGTTATCGCCGGAAAGTTGTGCAGCAGCGCCGCGCAAATAGAAAGGACTCGCGCTGACCGGGCTAATCGGGCGCCGGTCGACGGGAAAATGTCACGACATGAGCTGGGTGGCGAACGACACGCAGGACTAACAACTGCAGCACGGATCGACGGCATTCCTGCGACCGGCGCCTCCGTCAGCGGCCGCGTCACACGTGATCAGACGGTGAAAAATACACACACCGGCACGCAGCCGAGCGGTTCGCAGCCATTGTTTTACCTGTCGAAAAGGAAAACAGTTGACACTGTGCACACACAGCGCAGAGCTGGTAGATGAAGGCAAGTCGATACTGTCCATGTTGGTTAGATCAACCAGGCGTCAGCAGATATAAACGGGATCTACTGTGATTCAGTGACTCAAAATGTATGACAAATGAAATATCCAGGCGATATAAGCCTGAGCTATACCATCCAAGCCACTTCGCAGTTCCTTTCTTCAGCTACCTTTTCATTATTCGATCTCCCGGCTTTGATGCTGTAGTCCAATCGAAGAGAAAGCCCGACCTCCTGGGTAGCCCAATAAGATGTCACGGCCGCGGAGCTATTCAACGGTCGACTTCTGTCGAATGCCAGTCCAAAACGACGGCTGGAATTTGTGCCAATTCCAGTCTGATGAGCCATGCAAAACCGATCTAGGATTTCTTGAAAAGTTCTTTCTCACAGATGCTCTGCCTTTTCAGTGGTAGCACGGTGGCAAATAACAGTAAACCACGCTGAATATCTCATCCATATTTGCATGTCACCGCAAAACTACCTTCAGAAGCTCTGCAAATAAGCTCCTTAGTTGATTCACAAACCATCAGCCTCAAGTTGCCGGTGAATGGTGATGCGGACAGTGCCACCAGCACATACCCCGTGAATAGCACATTGCCATCCCGCCGCCCGCACTGACGGTAATCGGATTGCTCTGAGCAGAAGACGAGGGAAAGCGGCAGACAGAATGATTGGCCTGGACCACAACCACAACGGCCATCAGTCCGTGTCAACATCGGAGACGACGGTGCACCAACGGTCTGTCCGCACCTGGGCTGTGGAGAGGGAATTGACTAGCCGAGACTGGCAACAGGCCTGCGACCTGCCTCGATACACTGACTCTAATCAGGCGCAGCAGCATCTCTGTCAGTCGTCCGTCTAGACCCAGACCAGACACGCTCCGTCCTAACCCCAGACCAGACCAGTCCAGACCCAGACCAGACCCAGACCAGACCAGACCAGACCAGACGCAGGGCGGCCGCGCCAGCACCAGCACCGGTGGCCGCTTATCGAGCTTCGCCAACGGCCCATGGATTGGCTAACGATTGGCTATCACCGGCCAAAGCAGCCCATACATCACAGCCATACGACTCGTGCATGGCCGCTCTACGACCCGCCACGGCTCGGCTACGGCTCGGCTACGGCTCAGCTACGGCTCGGCTACGGCCGGGCGCGGACCGGACCGGCGCCGCTCCGTCACGGCCGCGACAGTCGCACCCAATATCAGTCGCCGACGGCGTCGGCGCCGACAGCGGCACCGGACCGCCAGGGTCGCGGTCACTGTGACCCGGGGCCGGCGGTCCCCGCGGACACATGTCCGAGACGGCTGTCCTGGCCAGAGATTCGGGACAACTGTTCGCTGCTGGGTGCCGACAGCCAGACAGACGAACAGCCCGTCCATACAAGCTGCAGTCCGTGAAACAGCGATGCGACACAAAGCTGCACTGAGTGCCGCCATTGTCGGCAATTCAGGCCACACAACGCCTGTCGGGGTCGCCAGAGTCGAGAAAACGAGCCCGTCAGAAATAAATCCGATGGAAAACAACGGCCGTTTGAAACAAAACTATACATGTTCAAGAATTTACATGGAGATTGGACAGATGCGCAATGTACAGCAATAGGAAATGCAAAGTGATATTAGAAATCGCTCTAAACACATAAGCACAAAACTGATGAGCATTCGTGCACCTAGACTTTAATTAAGAGTGCCCGCCCGCTTTAGTTTTCCGCCGCACGCCAGGCAACGCCCTCTGACAGAGGAATCTTCGTTACCGTGGCTCACGCACCCTAATCACACTAATATAAAACCTCAGCAACCAATCCGGTCGCTGCCGCGCAACGTTATCAGATCGAGTGCGACAAAAATGACACATCCGCCCCATTCCGTCCGCGGCAGATGTTACCCAGAATGCACAGCGATGGAAATTGACGCAGAATAACACCAGGTCAAGGTCAAACCTCATCGACCCACAAGGCAGGGACACGTCCCACATATGCACGACTCTTCTGGCGATCAATGATACAAATGTTTCACTGCTGCATCGACCAAGCAGTAGAGCCATTGATTCAACGCGGTGTGACCTTCACCATTGTATCGTGCGGGCGGATATTGGCGCCGCGGTACCACTTCACTGCAGTGCATATTCAGCACCACAATAACGCACGTACCGGCCCCGTCTGCCAGCCGCAGCCCGTCAAAGTGGCTTAGTTAATCGGCTGCGACTCTGAGAGACGCGTTCTGAGCGGCTGACAGTATAGGACCGGCCGCGACCCGCCACAAACCGCCGCCCCGGGCCGGGCCGCCACTGTTTTCCGTCACCGCCGTTCATTTCCTGCGCCCGTGCAGGGGGCACAATCCCCATTGTGATCCGGTATCGACGATCACCTATTCTCCACTATCCTGCGCCGGCCGCCGCCGTCTTAGCCGTTGATCCGTGCGATAGCCGGTAATACCTGAGGCGGGCCGCACCAGACCGGCAAAAAGGCCCAGAAAAGTCGTAAATCTCATCGGCGATGAGTTACTGACCAGCGCGAGCCGGGAACAGACGCGGCGCGACGGCCAGAAAAGAAATGTGAATGGCCGGACGGACGGGACGGGTTGGGATGAACGAGACAGACGGAACGGTTGGGACTTGGGACAGTCGGTACATCGCAGAAAAAAAATTGGCGTTCGACGCAGAACACAATGAGTTGAGCGCCACCTTAGAAAGTTAAAAAATATGTGTAAAATGTCATTTATTATAAAACTATCTGCTGTATGGTTACTAGGATTATCCACTTGACGGACGAAGCCGACTGCTTGGTTCCTACAGCGATAATATTTCTCCGGGGTAGGCTTCAGGCGTTTTACGAGCCTTTCGCTTTTGGAAACTACCGACATCGCCTTTACTGCACAGTAAAGCTCTGAGGATACTAGATAGCCCCTTCAAAGCTTACGATATGCTTCAGCCTTTCTTTACCAGCTCATCCACGGTCCAACTAAATTGGCTGCGGTGTATTGATGAGCGCAGCGATAGTCAAATTCCTGACTTGCTGGAAATATGGCTGTTGTGAAATATACATGATATACTCATGCAAGAACAGCTTTTATTGTCTCAAGTTCACCCATTACCTATCCAAAGTAGGAGCATCTCATCACTAATTTTGCTTGGAGTGGCCGCAGCAAGGGTTGGGTAGACGCTCGGCGGTACAGCATACCTGCAGGCGCACACCACTAGTGACATCTAGCGGCCTCAAGCTAACCAGGTGACGTTGCCACCGCCGGTCTCACCTGCTGTTTGAGGTACTTGAGCCGCTGCTCTTTGGCCACCAGCTGCTGCTGGTGGTCGTCAATCTGCTGCTGCTGCCTGCCGGCCATCTCTCGCAGCTCCGAGAGAGTCAGTTCGACGCCGTCCGGTAGCTGAAAAACAGAGGGATAAACACCGTGAGGACAACTGAATACTGAACAAGGCATACAAACACCGGTATTACGAGGATGCAAGTAATGGTTGCGAATGAAGAAAGTGGTCACGCTGATCAATAACAATCACTCATTGAATCACGTTCAGGGATACTTTGTGCGAACATGGATGCCCGTCATGCACGAACGGTAGTTAGTAACGGTCATGGATGAGTAACGGTAGAAGTGAAGTGCTGAATGAAACGAGGCTAGGGATGAGACTCTCGGTAATTATCGAATTAACCAACCAAACTCGCTTAATTCCTACGCTAAATCGCAGGTTGATCAATGACAGTGTACCTATCCTGCTGGGACTCTCCGTTTGTGTGTGTGTGGGTCTGCTCCGGAACTCCCACTGGCCACCGAAGTCCGGCCAACTTTGGCTGGCCCCGGCGGACGGATGCGACAGAGGGAACAGCAACTGCGCTCACGCCTCGTGAAAGGTTAACAGGAGAAAGTTGAGACACCCAACTCGCGAAATATTTCAGTGTGAAATAGGGCTCGGGGTTCAGTTCGCCGGTAAATTCGCTAAAAAAAGGAAACTGCTAGAGTAGGAGCCCCATAGCTAAAGTAGGAGTCCCATTGGAACCCCATTAGCGCAGCCACAGGAGCTTCAGGTTTTGCATCGATAAACAAAATGTTACGTCATGAACGTTATTGCACAGCGTCACACGATTTTCGAACACGCGCACATTTCTTTAATTTTACTTAACGTATTCTATTCAACGTTTGACCAACAAATTCATGATGATTCTGCAACAGCGGAGGAACAATAGTAATTGCAGGCATCCCGCGACCTCACTCAAACGGCCGAGTCATCCCCCACCCGCGCCTAGGGCAGTTTTTTTAGCACAAATCACGGTGAAAAGCGAGCATGTGACTTCCGTGACGTAACTGACGACACGACCCGCTACGTCACTAGCCTGTGATATGACGAAAATTGCACAATCAAAGACACAGTCTCAGGCCCTCAGCTATAACACCATAAAAAGTGTCCATGCAAATTGCAACCTCATCTCAAGAAGCCGTGAAGAAGGCAGATCGATAAGCAAGTAAACCATTCCAAATTCATCATCATCATCATCATCATCATCATGTATTTCGGACAACATCCATAAAATGGTTTTTCAGCAATCCACGTCATCTGACAATAAAAGCGACAATGAAAGACACATGCAAGCGAGAGGATTTCCGATGTTCCGAGAGGAATTGTAGGAACACAAGAAATTGTAGGAACACAAGAAATTCCGATGCAAGCGAGAGGACATTCCTTTCGAATCGGTGCTGCACGTAAAAAAGTGCCTTATTTTGCCAAGCAGACGATGAAATGTATATTCAGCGCAGTTGCGCCAAAACTATCGAGCTTTGGATGCGTTCTAGTACAGCAAAACAAACGCGTCCACAACATATTGGAATAGTTTGGGGCAGTCACGAGAAATTCACCTGTTTCTCAGAATACCAACCAACTCAATGTTGTTTACCCGCAGAGGCGTTCTGGCAAAAAAGTGGATGTTCGTCCGGCCAGAAAACGTCCTTGTGTGTGTCGCAATAAATCCATATCAACCGCATGACAAATATCGTATAATCGGATTACAGAATTGCCCATCGCAGGTAATCACATTGATATCGGATAGCAATCAAGCGCAACTCTCCAGCGACAACTGCACTCACTCAAACAACAAACTTGAAATATCTTCCAACCACCTTTCAGCAAAACCATTTATCCCGTACGATGAAAGAACCCGCCGTGGGACCCGCAGCAGTTAGAATAAAAACACAACCACCCCGTCCCGCAAGAGAGGAGCCACCTTCCGCAGCGCGCGCGCCAGCCAGGCACGCCTCCCGTCAAGTCTGCCGCCGTCTCGAGTTGACTGGAGTGCCAGGGCAATCGGCAAAACACACTCGACGCCCGGCGCTGAACAGACGCCGCCCTGCGACGGGAACGGCTTCACTCGCTCTCTCGGCTCTTGGAGTGGAGAAATGCATCCCGTCTGCCGCGAAAACAGCCGGCCTGGATGCACATTGGGGTTCACTGTCGATCTACGTCACCACATCCAGCGCTGTCTACCAATGATCTGATGTAACTGAGAGATGCTGCATTCGCTGTCGATGTGTTCAGTTTAGGGACGATGCTACCATTCGGACAGGATCACAAACAGACCAGCTGTTGCTCCACCGTAATAAAGAATCTTGGCTCCATCCACCTCAATTGACTATCAGGGCATGATTAAATCAATCCTATCCACCTATCTGCTCACTCTCATCCATTCTCTCCACAAATGAACTCAATCACGACTTCTTGTAATCCTTTTTGTCTCACACTTCACCATCCTCCGGTTGCGTTGAAAGCACGAGTCCGGCTCGACCACCCATCCTTTCTCCCGCGATGTCCGGCGTCCGCGGTGACGCACAAAACCAGTTGTCGGTCCGTGACTAACGACATAGCGTCGGCGGCGACGGCGAGCAGACGTCGCCGCTCCGACGCGCCGTCGCCGTCCACAAATCGACGACCGTCGACGCGGGCCGTCGGCCGGCTTTGTTGCGGCGTCGGGGCCGGGCCGAGTCAGCGCCATCGGTCATCGCGTCGCTCGATATCGTCCTCCGCAGAAAGGTGTCCCCGATGATGTGTGGCCGCCCTGGGGCCGGCCCCCGCCGGGACTGGGGCGGGGTGGGGTTGCCAGGGGGCCAGGAGGGGTCGGGATGGCGCCGGGAGGAGAGAAGGCAGTTGCTCTCGATATAGGCCGCCGGAGACAATGTGCTTTCTTGCCCAACTTCGTACACTGTACCCTGTCGGGTCGGTATGTACGTTTCTCGTATATGTTTTCGTCCAACATCCATCAAGTCGGCCACGCCTGCCTCGCCACCGTGCCACGGTCCTGTGACCCGCTGCGTGCCGCGCCGTGCCGGTGCCGACGGCGGACCAGACAGGGCACGCGACGTACCGCCTGGCACGGCCGGCCGGTTCCTATCGGCGCGCGCCGCCTCGAACAGCCGTGGCGCTCCCACCGAGCCGCAATGCACCGACATAATGCGTCCGCAGTGCAGCGGGTGTCGGGTGATACAGGCGTGCTGGTGCATGGTGTCACTTTCTGAAGCATGTGAGGTGCATTATTTCGTGACTCGGTGCCCTGTGCACTAATGTGGGCTGGCTAGCTGGGTTGGCGACTGACGAGACTAGGCGGTGTCATTCCGTGACCCAAAGGTCATACCTGGGTTGATCTATAGTGGCCCACCGCGCCATGTCGCAGCCCCGCACGCTAAAATACTACCCCCGAGACTCTCTAAACCCGGCGTTACTGACCACAGCCCAATAGCGAGTTACCACCAGCGCATCGGCTCCATCCAATAGACAGACCCGTCCCTCTCAATATCGTTCGTTTACCGCCATCACCGCGGCACCCAATCACGGTCGGTGTGTGCCCTCGGGCGCGATTGAAGCCGGCCGCTCCGTTTGACCAGCGCTGGGCTCGGTTTGACTAGCACTGCGCCGCAGGACAGCTCGGCCGTGATTAAAGCCCCGCGGCGCCGGCCACTGTCGCTGTGTGGGACAGGTACGGGAGGGTGGACGGTGGACGGTGGATGGCGGTCCCCTGTGGAGAGGAAGACCACCGCCGGCTCACCGAGCTCCCAGCGGAAATAACGCCGGACGCAAAAACAAACAAATCGAGCGGAAAGGGACGTCAGCCGACACCACGGCCGGAAAACGGAGCCAGAAAAAGGCGTGCAGATTGCTGGATACTGGATAAATAGTGGAATGGGATAGCAAAGAGAAGGCCACAAAGCGGATGCTGTCTCCCCTCTAAAAGTTACAAATTGATCGGTTATGGCGACAGGTTTCACCACAGGCCTCAGGCGATGAGACTGGAGAGAGGAGTCGGAAAATGCGGCTGTAAGAGGGCAGGGGTCACCGCTAGGGGTCACCAGGGGTCACCAGGGTCACAGAGAAACAGAGAGGTGAAAGTGAGTAGTTTCAGGAGCGGTTGCGTGGGTGCGTTTAACATGCGAGGGTAATCGCCTTTCTAATAACATTAGAAACACCTACCACCTACGCCTGCTCTAGTGTGGTTAAGGAGTCACAATTTTAATTCCAGTATATTTTTGGGACATGTCTCCTCTCACAAATTGATACTCAATTCCTCACCGTTTCATCCGAACAGTTGCCTGCTCCCCCGCCCATCTCCACCATTTGACAGAGCGAGCGGAGCCGCCCGGCTATCCAGCCACTGTCGACTGGGCGTGGCAAAGTTCAGGCCGTGCCGCGACAAAGTTTGGCTACAATAGCGGTCGCAGAGCCAGCGACCCAGACCCTCATTTGCGTTGGCACCCCGCTTGATGTAAAAGGTCACAAAGGGATCAAAGAAAGGATAACAACATGCTCTCTGATACGATATGCCAGGTGGATGATTGCTCCATAAAAAACTGTTGTGGGAAGTAAGGCATGCATGTTTCTTTATAAGGGCAGTTGCCAGTTCGTGAGGTCCCGTTGAATTGCGTCGCGTACTGAATCAAATGTCACCCTGATTTAATGAAACTATGTAACATACGCTAATATTTTTTGTTTATCCTATGTATGATTTGACAGCCCTTTCGCCGCTGGGAAGGAAACAGAAACAGCCAGTCCCTCTGAAAATATCGTTCCATCGCCGTTAGAAGTTGGCGCCGGCTGAGCCCGCAGCCAAACTTCTGAACCAACTCGGTCGACACACCTTGCCGTAGTTCGGGCGTCGGCGGAGACCATGGTGGGCGTCTGAGACCGCCGTGAGCGGCCCCGGGCCCGTGCCCACCCACCGCACAGTTCAGCGGCGTACGAGGTAGCAGGGTCAGTGACGTATTCCTGACGCCACAACCATACGCTCGGCTATATAAACCATAAATGAATCGTGTAGTTTGAGAAAAGTTAGGAGATAATTTGAAAGGCCAATCTGTTTTTAGCCATCACAAAATAGAGTGAGAAAACCGAT